TGGGGCGCCTTACACCGAGACCCGGCGGTCTGTGGGGCAGGGTCCCCTGTCCTGGGGGAGCCGTGGGGCTCCTCGTCCTGGGGCGCTTAGAGGGTTTTGGTGGCGGAGCTGGGCAAGGAGGGTGCTGGGGCTTCTTCCCCTCCCTCCCGGGGGCAGGAGGGCCCCACTAGCCGTCCCTGGGGCGCGGTGCTCTGGTGGCAGGGGTGGAGGAGAGCGTTTCAGCCCGTCCTTTGAAGTTCCCCCTTCAGAAGTAGATCCGCCGGGGGTTTGATCGTTTCAATGAACGCTGCACGATTTCACCCTTAGCTGGCTTGTTTACGCAACGCTCCCCACACGAAGCGGGGTTGGTGGGGTTGCAGTGTTCCCCTCAGATGTTGGTCTAGCCTATTTTAAGAAGCTTGTTAAACTAGACTTTGTAGGGATCCCCTTTGCCTGCCATGCCTTCCTGGTGTTACCTCTAAGATGCAGACACGGCAGAATCGGGGGGAGTGAGAAAGGAAAAGTGGGTGATGCTGAGAGTGATGCATGGCTCCCCTCCTGTTTGTAGTTGCTACAAATTAAAAAGAACAGTATCCTTCACTAATCGAACTTAATCTTTTCCTAAATCTGTTATTGTAACTATGTGTTACTCAGCTAAAAAAAAAAAAGCGCCATACAAGTGCTTCGATTTCAACTGGTAGGTGAAGCCTTCTGCCTGTGCCGATGACCTGCGGGTGTGCTGGTGGCTAGATGTGGTTTGCTTTTCTCCAGTCTCTAATTTATAGTGACCTGTCACAGCGGTGGATTTCATTTAGAGGGAATGACAAGAATTTGTATTTTTATACGGAAAGAAATCTGTGACTAATTAAAACTCTCTTTTTATAAGTAGTTCAGTGCACAGAGCAATTAAACGACTGGTAGTTCTCGCCGCAGTGGTGAGAAGGTTCCCCAAGAGTCCTAACTCAAACTCGGAGAAGGCTTTTTGGGTTTTTTTCTTCCTCTCCAGCCACATGAAAGCTCAGCGGTGTGAGCCTCCCCCTCTGTACGCTGGTGCTGGTTGAGCCTTCTAAGGGTGGGTCGAGCTGTGCGCCTGGGGTCGGAGCTGTCCCCTTTCCTGGGTGCCAAGGGGCACGCCGGCGATTGCCCAGGCCCCCCTGTTAATATAACACGTATCTTGCTCTGCCCAGTCCAGCGGTGTGACTGAAGTTTGCCGTTTGATTTAGAAACGGGTCTGAGCAACGGGTCTCTGCGGCTGCGGGGTGTTACCGGCGGCTCTCGGGGGGTGACATTAAACGTCCTTCCCGGCGCCCGCGAGGGCGGTGCGGCAGCCCCGCTCTGCAGGTCCGCAGTGCTGGACCTTCAGAATTTGCGAAACATCTACTCCCTCCCCCCCAAAAAAGAATAAAACCAGCGCAGCCCCCCATGCAGCGTGTGAACAGGTAAAGCCGAGCATTGCGGAGGTCGGTGGGGGTTGCAGCCCGCTGGCTTCTGCTTGACGGAAGGTCCACCTTAAGGGTCCCCGGGCGGGTGTGGGCTCTGGCCGTGCCCCGGTGTAGTCTTACACCGTCCCGCCCTGCTGTGCTCCTGCCTGCCCTCAGCCATGCAAAAATAGACGGGATCCACTACCTAAGATGTCATTGTAACGTTACTTGTCTGAGGTGAAACTGAAGCCCTTATCTTTGACGCTGAACCTCGGTTGCCTTTTAAAGGTAACTTGTTTGTGGGGAGGGAGACGCTTGGGTTTCGCTTCCTCAGCGTTCCGCTGTGGCCGTGGGTATTGCGCTTTAATTCACAGCTTTCGTTTGAGGCTTGGGTTTAATGTCTGTTTTGTCTGTAGCATTGTTCTACCGATATGAAACTATGCTATAAAAATAAAAAAGTCGCAGGGATTTTCTCTTCTGATTAACTTAAAAGTTGTGACATTTTGACATCGTTTTGAAACTGTCAGGTCATAATGTGTTTAGAATCAAGTTTTGAGCTGATGACATGGCAGCATATGATACTAATTTTGTTAGAAATGAATGTGCCAGTACTGCTAATTTCTTCCATACTTATATTTAAGGGATGCTATCAATTTCTGCTTGTCTCAACATTGACTTTCTTCAAGATGAGCTTTAATGTTGGGTGTTTTTCTCCCCCACAACTGCTGCCGTGTCTTGTTATTAAGAAGTAATTGTCAAATGTCTTGGCAGCAGAAATTCTTGAAGTCCCAAGTCGATGTTACCAGTTCCCTAGTTATCTTTCTTCCTAACGATGACAACATGTGAGGAGTAAAGACAGACCTGGTGTGAGGGGTTTTTTTTGCTGTTTTTGTACTACAGAGAGGAACACAGGCAAAGAAAGAAGGCTTTTCAAAAGGTAGGCAGCGTCTTTTTATTGTCTTTAAATTAAAACTCTAATCCTCTTCTGCAGGCATCAGTTCTTTGGATCTGATCCTTGAATACTAAACATCATGAGCAACTACAGTGTGTCTTTGGTTGGCCCAGCTCCTTGGGGTTTCAGGCTTCAAGGGGGCAAGGATTTCAACATGCCTCTGTCTATCTCTCGGGTAAGTGCATTCTCCTCTTTGCCTGTTATGCTGTGGCTGACCTGCAACCTTCAGACATAAGTATGCAAAGCCATTAATTACAGATGCTGGAGCTCAACGTGGCATGGAGGGCTGGGGGTAAGGGGGGAGAAGGGGTGCTGGGAAAATAAAACTTCTTTATTATTTGAAGGCTCCAACAAAATTGTCTTAGGAAGGATGTGTTCATTTGAAATAGTTGTTTTATCTGCGTATATTTGTGCAACAAACAAAAGAAACAACGACTCCTGAATTCCCCTCCCTGCTCCCACCCAGAAAAGAGATGCAGAGATTGGAGGCTGTCAGGAAACAGGCAATTTTGTGCACGGGGCTAAGCCTGTGCTGCTCAAATGGGAGGCAGCTGGGGAAAAATCACTCACGTTGTCCTTGTTTATTCAGCAGCTCTTAGCTGGTGTCTGTTCTTGCAAATCCCACTGTTTACAATAAAAAGGCACTTCAGTGACAGTAGATGTAAATAGCAGTTCATCAATACGTGCCTGAGTGAATGTGCCACTTTCTCACGAACTTTTTACAAAGTATGTCCTCTGAACAGATATTCAAAGCATTTGAGGAGCTAAGTCAAAACAAATGTGATCTTTGTACCCAGGCACTATCCAGCTAGTTTCCTGCTTTGAAACCATGTTTTCAGGGAGGACTTTTCTTTCAATGTGGGCTGAGTTTAAAAGCCTTCCTCAAAAGGAGAATTGGAAATCTCAGGGTGAAGAAACTGGCTTCTGATGGCTCTGTAGCATACCACCTTTAAATTTGATTTGTAGCGTGGAGGCATTTATACAAACGGCATTTTCTCTCACAGTTCTCCTCCCCTTCCTGCATATTCATGCAGTTTAGTGACAAAGATGAATTATTTTTTACACCTGTTGGGACTGTAGAATTGATACTGCCCTGGGAGATGGAGTGGGTTTCTATTTGGGTTTATGCATCATGGCAGTATTTTTAGCTAATCTCATCTATCAATTCAAACCCTGCAAGTTCATTTAGACTTGGCTTATCCTATTCACATGTGGATTTTGCTGGTGAAATTAAAATATAGTTTGGCTCTGCAAAATTATTTTTATATGGCTAAAATAGACAGGAGAGCTGTAGAAATGCCTTTATATGGATGAAAAGGCCAATATCTGAGCCAAAAAGGGATCCAGAAGCAATTTATTCCCAAATTCTGGGGATTTTCAAGCTAAACTGTAATTCAGTTTCCTGTTTGGTAGCTGGTTACTCCTACACTGAGAAATTTGAACTGGGGATGCAGATAGTGCTCTTCTGGTTTGATGGTAGAAGTGGAAAAGCATAGGCCCTTGCCTGCAGAGGGTACTTGTGCATGGTACTGATGAGCAATTAAGCGCTGTAGGCAGTAAGCCATAGTAAACAACTAGTTTTAGGAAAGGGTAGTACTTTTTTTGTAGGGGCCTCTGCTGCCCTGGAGATCTAGAATACAGTGCTGCTGTGAGCAGTTCTTCCCATCTAAAAGTTTCTGAAGAAGCAGCATATGATGAAATTAGCCTAGATTACTACTTTATTGCAGGAATCAAATATGCTGTCACATTGAGTAGCCTAGAGAGAATTGGTCTAAATAGCTATGTATTAAAGCCTCAGTTATGGGATTCCCTAATGACAAATGTCAGTGCCCAGACAAGAACTGAACAGAAAGAAAGGTGGGGACCAGGGTGGTTTTAGGACTTGGATATTGTGCTTCCCCCTCCCTCACACAAATTAAATCCACCTATTATACCTCAGCACTGCTTCCCAGCTGACCTTTTTCTTATTTGCAGTTAGGAGTTGTGGATGTGGTGGGGTTTTTTGTTTGTTTGTGTTAGCTTTGCTTTTTTTTTTTCCCCTTTTGGATCAAAAAAGTCGTTAGTTCTGGTATGCCAATCCAGCTTTGGCCTGATAGCTGGAAGAATTCAACACCAAGTTCCTGGTATGCTAGAACAGTGTGTACCATTCACCCCCCTAGCCCTCTTTTTCCTGATAAAGCATAAATGCCTTCCTGTATGTGAAGGCTGCTAATTAAATTATTTTAGCAAGACAGTGATGAGACAGCAGAATTATATTCTTTGGCAAGGAGGACTTTTTGGGGTTTGTTTTGATTTTAATTTGTTCTCTACATGCTGAGGATGAATCTGGCTGCACTGCTGAGGGCTAATTTCCTGCTTTAGTTTAAACTCCTTGAAATTAAGTTCAAATAAAATACAGTTCATGAAGCACAGAAAATACTATGGTTTCTAAAGTTTTTCATCTGAAAAGCTAATCTCTACTAATGATTTGAACAAATTACGGTCTCGTATGGTTCCTTGGAGAAAGTTTTTAGTAAGGCATTCGGCTTTGTACAGAATGCAGTTTAAGTGGGCATATTCCTTATTGCCTCTGTTAGGTAAAACGAGCCTGGTTTGTGTTCTTCAGTTGGAATTCTTAATTTTTACAGCTAAGCGGTAACAGGTTAACATTAATGCAGGGGTAGCAGTAACATTTATTTTCCATAAGCTGGTGTATTGCAGGCTGGTTGCAACATCACAACCAATAGCAGTGGTTATTGCAGGGTTATGTCAGTTACTTAATATAGTGCTCTCAGGACTTTAAAGTTGCTACGTATACTTACACAGCTGTACGTGGTAAGTAATCTACCACAGGGGATATGGCCTTAGATTTAGTGACATAAATCAGTACAACAAAAATGTGTGTGTACTTAGTATGTGTAATTGTAACTGGCTGGACTTCAGCAGGGTGGCTTTTACAGTCGTCCTCTTCCCACCCTTCCGAAGGTGCCCATCTGAGTCCTGCAGAATGCCCTTACACAGGTCAGGAATTTGGCTGATGTGGGTAGGAGTGTGGTGGGGGTGCATGGCTGTCATGAAAGAGGGGTTAGTGGGAAGGAAGCTGCTCTGAAAGTAAGACAATTTGATCTTTACCCTTCAGCCAGGAATAAAGGGTGGGCTGAGGTGGTAGAACTACGTTTTTTGTTAACAGCCAAGCGTTAAAGCTGCTGAGGCCACTACATGTAGCTGTACTGTAGGGCTTCCAGGTAGTTCATTCTGTAGTGGTACTGGTATAAAGAGAGATTGCAAACTGACCAGTTAGCCTGCAGTGGAGGAGGTAGGAATTACTGGAGCTGAGGTATGCAAATCTAGATTATTTCGAGCTGCTGCTGTTTTTCCTCGCAGCATTTTACATTGATTAAAGAAGCAACTGTTCTCCTTATTCCTTTCTGACCTACATTGGGATGCAAAACCGAATAAAAAATACGGAAAGCTAGAGCAGATGAGAACAAATTACTGAGATGCGAGGTTAATTATGTTCAGGTAGCTGTAAAGTAGCTATTGTAGGCAATTGCTAAGATTCAGACTTTCTCCATATGGAAGAGAAAGCTTAATGTTTAACCATCTATCTGTAATATATGTGGTCATGTGGAATGACATTTGCCATAATGCGATGTCTTCATATGAATGAACTGATTGCTTCTGACTCAACACAGACCACTGCAAAGGCAGCCATTTAACAGGCATCTCCATCTCCACTTGGCATATTTGAGAGGCACTGTCCCAGCACTTTGAGTGCTGGTTAAGCTGGTTACGCTACAAGAATTACATCATGGGTCCTCCTTGTTTCTCCGTTACTTCCAAACAAAACTTATTTCCAGGTTGCAGGATGTTCTGCTAAACACCTGCTGGGTCAAAAAAAGACTATCAGTCCAAAATAATTGCAGCTGAATTATTTTGGTTTTAATCATGATTGCCAGTAATAAAGGATGTTCTATTGTTGATATCCATATAGATCTCTGTCTGGTATTGGATAAATCCTGCTGACACTAGGGATATGTCCAGTTTGGGAATAACATTGGTTTACATTCAATAGATCTTTGTCTTCTAGGATTGTTTGCAGAAGGGTTTTTCTTCTGCTGAATTAGAATAAAGAAGAGCAGTTTTGGAGATAATTGAAACACACTGCTAGGTAGGATTCTTGGAGGCATGCTAAGTATTATATTTACAGAACTAGAGGTGGTTGATGTCTACAACATGGTCTATGTTGTTTACATGCAAGACAGTAGCTTTCGAAGCAATACACACTAGAGTTTGAATTATCATTGGTTTACTTTTCTGGGAGTTGGGTAGTTCCCAGTGCTTAATTAACATAACCAAAATAAAATAAGCGTTACTGTAGCATTAGAATTGTCAAAACTGCTGTCCTCTGCAGATTGAAATACATAGTGTTTAGTATTGATGTATTCATTAGGTTGTGATAAACCGTGAGAGGTTTAGGTATTTGTTCTAAATATACGTGTGGAATGTTTGTAGTCTCTCAATTTTTGTGGTGCCATCTCTAAACAGTGCTTGTCTCTGTTTTATGGCAGTATTTACCAGTAGAAACAAGGAAATACTGAAGTGGAACTATAGTTTGAACAGTGATGTAGCCTATGTGCAATATAAACTATCCAACCTAATGCAAACACATAGGATGCTTTCTTTGTATTTAAAAGTCACTTTTTGTTCAGTCTTGGTGGCACACTAGCCATCTTTCTTCAGAAGATGCTTCACTATTTGTCTTTGTCTGTCTGTAAGAATGAAATGGAATATGGGTCATCTTGATATGTTTGACTTGGCCAACAGCTCTCTTTCTACTGCAACTCCTTTTCAGTGTGTTGTGACTATGCCTCCCCCTTCTTCCTTCTTCTTGGTCACTTTACCTCTTCAAAAAAAACAACCCAAAGAAACACCACACCCCCCACTTTAGGAATAGTCCCTTCTTTTTGCAGTTTTCAGTATTTCATCTGTTTCAAGTATGTTTTTCTGTGTTGTTTTTGCAAACTTGATGGGAGACCCATGACAACAAATCTGTGAGCAAGCAGTACAGCCAGGGAGTAGGTGGAAGAGCAGCCCACCTTCAGATGAAATAGTGGATGTATGTGCAGCACATCAGCTGCTCAATATTCATCCCATGTGATCATACTGACATTCTTCATGCTGGTATCACGAGGT